AACAAAAAACCAAATAACAAAAGTGTTTCCAAATATTCAACTTCTTCATACCTCACCCAAGAAAGACCATCAAATAAGACAGCTTTGCAAACATCCCACTGCGTTGTAACTTTTGTAAGCTCGAAATTCGTATTTCTTCTCCACTCCCGCCTCATTATACTGGGAAATTCTATTAATGTTAGCTGTTGGCCGCCTGCTGTGCAGCAGGTATTCTTAATCAGGTTCTGTCCGAAACTTTGCTACCTAGATTGAAGACATCGTAAACAGCGTCAGTCAGAACTCTTAACACCAGCCACATCAGCCGTCACTTTCAAAGTACTTTCAGCTCCGCCACGCTTGCTTCAAGTTCAAAATCAATTATTTACATATTGGCTTGAGATACTAAAGTGTAAGAATACACACACGGGAATTAATATGTGGTCGCATGCTCGCATTGAACATGTTGTAAAAGCTTGAAAGGCCCAAACTCTTCCTTACATTGAGTTTCAAAAGATCCCACTCTACCGCTAGTTTACGTTAATAATTCAGTAAATACATGTGTTGCATGACAATGCGGTTAAATATAATGAACTGCGTAGTTTTGGAATGTTCTACATAGTTTAGAAGTTTAGGTAGGCCTCCTGTACATTTAAAGCGGAAGTTTGCGGTGGAAGGTTRAATTGAAGTTGCTTCATTTCCTATCGTGCTAGAGCTCGTCCTAAAGTAGTTKGTTAATTTTGGTGATGTAGTCTTTAGAAGCTCTAAAAAAATTATACAAGTATATAATGCGTGAATATTAAAGGAATTATAKAAAGATTAACAATAAAACACGCAGGATTTGATAAATATTGTCAGCCAATTCTGCATCACTCCAGACCGTTAAAACTTCTTTCTATTGATTCTGCTTGAAGGCTTGAGTTAAATACTTGAAAACTTGTGGAGAATCGTAAACCAAAACCAGTCACAATCTTGGTCTATGGTAATCACAGCAACGTACAGTCCTATGTTGTGTAAAAGTTTTTCACTGCGGACTGTCCATAATCAAATCCGATAATTCCGAAATGCAAGCCCATAGAACCCAGATTTTAAGCAAGAAATTACCTGAACTTTACACATTAATTTATTTCTCAACTCTAAAGGCTGTTAATCGAGCTTAGGAAATGCTGATTAAACTGATAAAGAACTGGAAAAGTATCAGTTGGAATATGGTTTGCTCTGTCTATGAATATTTTTAAAGTGTGAAACGGTTCTTAGCTGTTAGAACTCAGAACCAAAAAAAAAAAACAAAAAAAAAAAATTAACGCAACACCAGAGTTTCTTCTTAAAATTTTTTAAACATAGCACAATCAATACTAACTTTCCAGAAAACACAAGATATCAAAGTGAAGCCCATAAGTCTTTTAAGTTCTTTAACCACCTCGCGAGCAGCAAAGATCTGAGTTAGTATATCGTAAACCATAGGTCGAATCGAAACTAAACTTGGTTGGTTGGAAGAAAAGCGATGCGCATAAGCGCCAGACGACAAGCCGCTGCGGTTGTGACAAAACTAMGCCATATCCAACAGCTCTGTGGCTTTGATAAAACATTGGATTATTCACTTGAGCTGTCTAATATCTTTCAAATCGGCTATGGAATATATTCCGTCTCATCCGGGTAAATGCTGGGCTTTCCCATCATCTTCCGCTCATGTTCTGCTTTAAGGTGAATCCTTTTTTCCAATTTCCTCAGGGTGGGATCTTAAGGGTAAGTGCACCGTGATGACCCCTACAATATTAGTACCTGTAAGTTAAGCAGAAGCAGCTCCAAGATGCTCACAAGAATTGTGTTTCCAACTACCCACGATCATTAGATTTTTTATYTCCTTGTAATCCAATATAATTCGGTATCTAGATCATATTATCTGAGTCACCTACTAGGAATTTAAGTAGTTATTGCCTGCTTGCATAATATAACATAGTTAGACCTAGTATTGTCGCTACGGGTAGTCTTTATTGGTTCTTGGCAATCCACAAGAAGATTKATGGRCTTGCTGGTTAGAGCAGAAGAACATGTGACACCTWCTGTWATGCCCACAATTTCCGCTTGAGAGACTGAATTATAGTAATTTAGTTTAAATCTACCTTCTGTGTATGGACTTTTGCAGAAGAAACCTTTTGATTCAATGGTGAATATGTAGATTTAACTGAAATATTGATCACAGAACTATTGGTCAATTTTTCTCTACCTGAATATGAAAACGTTATATTTAATTCCTTCTGGATCTCATTTTCTCGGTCCCATCACCAATTTAGCCCACGKTCATCAACAWGGTTGTGTATGATRCCATGTCCGTAGTGAYGCTGARTCTGGCTCCAGTTCACTAAAACATGAGCTGGCTAGCCGCAAKCATTGCCTCCTACTTTTCTTGTGTACGAGTATGCATTGGCCGGATATCCAGGACAACAATAGTTGAAAGATATTAACAATTTCAAATTCATAAGGACAGCTTTAATGCTGCTTTTGTGTATAAAGTTACCAAAATAAAAAAATTCCGAGTACAAAATGGGCCGAATAAACTATGACAGATATAAATATCTGTAAAGAGACCGCAATCTTTTATATTAGAATACAAATATTAGACATTTAGTTTCAAAAGAGGAGAGATTCTCTAGACCCATATTTCAACTGACTACTTTTTGAAATTGCAATTAAAAAATGAAAGTATACACCAGTAATTCTTGGACCATTGACGATCAAATCAGATGTGGGCGACGGAATCATTGCAATAGCGCTCAAGTAGATCGAAAAAGGGGATTTTTTTGTGATCTATAAAAGTGATAACTATTCGCAAAATATTTAAAAAATTGCAGAGCATCAAATGAAATAAGAATGTCTCAAATATAAAAGTCTGTTCAGTTTCTTTCGAAGTATTTTAAATGTTTGCGCTGCAGAGGAAAAGATGACAAACGAAGTGTACGATAATGGATAARTATTTGGAGGAAGCAAATGTTGTGTTATTGTTGCACTGAATACTAGAGTAAATTCATTTTTTTCTTTTTTTTTTTAGTAGGCGATCTTAGCAAAGATTTAGTGTTACAKTCGAATCAACGCAAGTATGACTTCCCCCTTTCAATTTTGCAGTTGACTCAAGACGAGCATCATTTAAGCTTTCGTCAAAGAAAACTTAATCAAATAAGCGCTTTGCTTCTTAAAGCACTTTCCGCAACTCATACAAAACTTGCCAAATTACAACTCCGTTATCTAACAGGCAATTGTAGCTGGAAATCTCACATCTTGCCATTACGTCAACAAACATGCTTTGAATCTTAAGCAATAAGACACACACGCTCTTTCATTAATTGAGTTAAACTTTTTCTTGTTTCCTTTCTAATTTCCTTATTCCTATAGACACACCTGTTTGCAAGCATTTGGATCGTGTCATACTAATTGGCGCCTCAAAGGATGAAACTGTCGAAGTCACGTGTGAAATACAAGCGGATCCGCCCCCCAGGTAAGTGTACGTCACATCGACTATGCCTATAATCAAGCATAGTGTAACCCGTTCATCAATGTCAGCTTTTTGAGTAAAACAAGTAGAACGAGTTACGGAGAATTTCTGAACCGGGTTCAGCATTGAGAGTTGAGGGAGTTGCCAAGCCAAAGAGGCAKACATGTAGGCACAACAATCATATAAATTAGCAAAAATTGTTTGTGTTTACCCATGCTGGTGCTTTGAATCCATCATTGTGGAGTCGCACACAGCGTGGAGTAGAGGAATTGTTTTGTGTGCCGGGGAGGGCGGCAGAAACGGTTGTTGAAGCGACAATCGCACCTATGTGCGGGTGTTGAGTGTGAAACTTTTACTTCCTGCTCGTCGCGTTGCCAACTAAACTTTGTCTCATTAAAGCTTACACGTGTACATATTGCCACATACACACACACAAACACTTGTACGATTTGGTATGTGAGTGTATTTATGTGTGCCTGAGYTTGTCGGCGTTTAGTGGGGTTGTCGTACAGTGCGCCTACGAAGAGCTATAGCCGGAAACAAATAGTAATTAATTTTCGCTGTCCAATTGCTTTGCCGCACACAAATACCTATGWGCTCTAATTGAATGAATGAATGAATGAATGGATGTAGGAACGCGTCAACCAAATACAATCACACTATGTATAAGGACGTATATCTCCTTACCATTTCACTAAGTTCGATTGTTATTTAAGATCTGTATAAGGAAGCGGAGTGTGCTTGAATAAGGCAGTTCTAGAGCTCATTCATCATTTGTAATTGGGTGTAGACATTTTGGGCCCAGTGTCAAAATGAATGTGTTCACCTATGTGTGTAAGTATTTATGGACCGTGCGACACCTAACTAAGCAATTCGTCAAAATACTCACTGCGTACAATTGGGGAGTGTAGTGAACCAGGGAAATTATATAGTTGGCGACGGCAAATGCTAACCCTATTCCAGTTATTGTGGCAACTACCACTGCAGGGCATTATAACACATACATATATTCTTAAATATGAGAGTTTTGTTCTACCTGCAAACGGGGGCTGTCCGACAAGTCCTTAGYCTCAGCGGCAGATGATGAAGGAAGCAAGAAATAATTAATAGTACTTTCTCGCCGTTTAATGACAAATTTTCCGACGAATGATTGTAGTAGTTTGGTTTTGACAGCTTGTGAAAGTGAGGGTGCCCATGGTGACCTTAGACATCGTCGGTAGTTCGATGCTAATGAATTGGGAATTCTTTGGATTTAGAAGTCAGCACCAGTAATCGGCTTTGCTTACGCGGCTCAAGCCTGAAGCCGATTATGTTTAACGAAATCTAAAGGGRCTTGCAGTTAGTTTCTTCAGAGTAGATGAAATATTGATAGAGTTGTGTACGTAAGAGGACAACACATTGTCCCTTCAGCGGGAAAGGGGATTACTTCCGTTTTTGGGAATTTAAAGGTTGTGATTCAAATCAACTAACTAAAGCAGTATTTACTATTAATGGACTATTTTTTCACAAGTCACCGCCAGCGCAATAAAAAATTTGGTCGCATGAGGCTAGAGATTGCTGATCCAAACACAGTWACTTCCAGACTGAGCTCGCTGTGACTTCGTTTTTTTACAGACTTGAAAAAGTCACTSGTTGGCCAACCATTTGAGTCGAATSAAGAAATTATCGGAAGCCGACTTTGCAGACCTTCAGAAAAGTGGGTTAATGTGTGTGTTAGGTACTTCAGAAGCGTAAAACAATCATCATCAATTACTTGTCGCACCGACCTCGTCCTAACATATAATGTAAACATTTATAGTCATAGAGACTGTCATAATTAATGGCGCACAATCCGTTGCCTTTAGGTGATTTATAAATTAAAGTTTGTTATAATTAGCTAATGTCATAAATTAATTAGCTGAAGTGTTACTTTGACATTAAACACGGACCATAAAATATTTTTGAGATATTGCTGTACAAATTTCGGCAATTAATTTCAGTTATTTAACACGATTTTATCGCACAAGGCGATTCGTGTGGGAATTTGTGTTAACTTTTTTCATAAATTATTAAATACTTACGCATTTCTTGCAGAACTTTTCGYTGGAAGTTCAATAATTCGGGTGAAACATTGGATGTTGGCAGTGAACGCTTTAGCGTAAATGACAGCAGAAGTGTGCTCAAGTACACACCGATATCTGATCAGGTGAGTAAAGGGTGGTTGGTAATAAATTTATTTAAATTTTACCTTTTTTTGTAGAAGCGAATAATTTTTATAATRTGACGGCCTATTCATAAAGTATTTTTTCATGAAGAGATGGCATTATAATTAGTGATAATGAGAACTTAGGTTTTAGCTTGTATAACTCTTTGAAGAATATTCGAAGCCCGTATCAAAATTTTATTGAAATCCACACAACACCAAAGATCTAATCCTCTTTGTTTGTGTTTGATTGGAATTATGGTTTAAGAGCATAAGGTATTTTGAAGAATTAGTTGACGTTTCGTAAGCGCTCCAMCCTTCAAGGGGTTAAACTAGTCCAAGGCTCTTAAAAGACTCATCTTTGAAAATTTTTTATTGAAAGTAAGAAAAATGGAATCGAATTTATTTATTTCAAGCTTTATTWACATATAAAAAAATGCTTGATATTTTGATACAAAGTGGTGGCTACTGGTCCAGCACTTCGGACTCAAATTGCTTAAAAAGTTCTCGATGGACGGCTGAGATTCGAGGAGCTCGGATTATTTGTAAGAATATAAAAAACAATATCATATCCAACACATGGCCTGCTAATAAAAATAATAATTTTTCAATAAATGGCAAATTWTTAAAATTATTATATTTTTGACGGAAAATTTTAAATACATWACATTTTTTATAGAAACATTATAAATGACTGGGGATCATGTCAAAAACTCTTAAATTTGGTTTTTATTTTTTCTTCATAAAATAATCATTATATTTAAATTTTTTTCTATTACATAATAATAGTTATTTGATAACTGTTGCTTGTTACCAATCATGCAACTGTTATACATATGTTTAAGAAAATGTATAACTTAGCGTAAGAGTATTATTTGTCAAGGAAAAACAGAGCATCGTTCACATTTTGCTATATAATGTTACTGAGAAGCCGATTCAAAATATCAAGTTTCGAAATCTGTTTTAAAGTTTTACGGCTGAATCTAACCGATCACTGGTTTCAATACTACAATAGATGAGAAAGGGGTTTATTTTAGCGTACGATTCCATCGAATATGTAAGGGTTTTTTGTCCCTATAGTGGGATCTTAGACAAAAAAAATGTTTGTTGTCTAAAAGCATCAAAATAAATAGAATTTGTTTAAAAATGGAATRGCTTCTGTAGGATATACCGTACTTCTTGATAAATATTAAGGTACAGAAAGTTTGAAATGAAAGAGGGAAATTTCAGAAATTATGGTCTTTAGGCAGAATTTATGAGTGTACAAGTCAGTTAGATAGTACCTAAATATGCCTCTAGGCGCTCATTGTAACTTCAAGTTTGAAGAAATTTGTTTWGTCAGGCGTCCAAGGCAATTGAAGAGAAAGCAAATTAAATGTCCGAATTGATTTTGAACACTTTTCATTTAGAAATAGCTAAAAACTTAGTTCTTATAAATTGCTTATGCATCAATATTTTATTTATATAATCAATTTTCTACATTTATAAAATTCGCATCTCTTTTTTTTAGGATTACGGCACTCTGTCCTGTTGGGCTTCCAATGAAGTTGGTACACAAAATCAGCCGTGTCTGTTCCAAGTAGTGCTAGCTGGTAAGTAAAAAATTCCGTTGTAGAAACATTATCAAAGAAATCCAGAAAGTAGCGCGAATTAGTTTTGGATCTGTCATAAAATCAAAAGTCAAATTTCCCTCCTCAACAAAACTTTTTTTCGCCACATTTAACACATTTAAAACAAGTTTAATGTTTTAGAAACAGAAACAATGAATATTTGTATACGTTTATGTACTTTCAACGCAATCTATTATATTGTTTGTAAATTAACTTTAATTCGTGCTTTTTTAACATCCAACTAATATTTTTGGAATGAGCTTTTACTTAGAAATAGTTCCAGGGACATGACAACTGTATAAGCTGGAAATACAATATGTGATTTGGAGTCTGGCAATGCTGTGAGAAATTTAAAAGTTTTAGTTGGACAGACGAAGATGATGTTAGTGTAGCCAACGCTATTAATATTTTGRGAGCCAAAAGAAATCCAGAATGTTTAAGAATTTTCGAGGCTGGTTATATTAACAGACCAAAGCATTACAACATTTTCTCTTGTCAATTATTTTCTTTTAAATTGTAATGATTTTGTTTAATCCAAAAAGACACATATATTAGACAATAAAGTAGCCATCATATAGCTTTTAGAACCATTCAAATGTGAGCTTCTGTCTAAAGAAAGCACGAATGATAGAAATAGAAATAGATACAGATGTTACGACAGTTTCTAAGCGGTAATTTTTGGGAGTKCGCTTAACAGAAGCGAACATTCGAACATGACATTTTCGTGATGTCATGAGTGAAGAAGAGCAGCATTTATAACTACTAGGAAAGTTTGACAGACCCATCAAGTCACGACTACCGAAACTATAATTTATTGAAGTAATTAGCGTGAAAACTAATATCTACACAGCGTACAATTCTTAAGGCCTTTGGAAAGAAGGGGTATATCGCTCACACGTGCACAGGGATTTCATTTAKAAATGTCAAATAGGTCTCATATAAACTCACAGAGAATTTATAAAATATCTCTGGTAGCGCTATTGGGTAACTAACTGGTGACTTAAATGTTAARTGGCCTGCTGGGTCGTTTCTTTACCGATTATGTATTAAAATCTTGTAACGTACTATTCTCGATTCATAGTCATAATTCTTTTGTATATTTGAGGATAACATACACATATGATAAGATGTTGATAAATTTGTATATATTTTTTACCTTCGCGATAAATTTGTAGTATGAGAGAAATATTTATTGTAACTAAAATAATTCATCTTTAAACGGCTTGTACTTATACTATTAAATATAGATTCTCAAATATATAATATATCTTTGTTTTAAAGTTATTATATATTTATATCATTACTAACGACCAGTAGATCTATTTATGGCGTGAAGGCCGACTAGAATAACCTATATATCATTATATATTTTATTCATTCTTTCAGCTCTGCCCAATGGCGTTTCAAATTGCTCCATCGTTAATCGTACGGATGTCAGTGTMGACATTCAATGCATTCCCGGCTATGATGGTGGATTGCCACAAATTTTCGTGCTCGAGATGTTCTCAGCCCGCACAGGACTAACAAGGTAAATGATAGTGGCTGTATAAATTACGTTCTGACAAACGTTAAAAATATTTCTAAGTACAGAAACTAATTGCATCATTTATACTATAAATAGATTGAAGCAGCTGTCAAACTATTTTTGTCATGTTATAGTATAAATATTATCGTAACTAATGCAATATGTGACTATTGTAACATATTATACTTCTATTAGATAGACGGCAAAGAATRCTAGCATTTGCTTTTAAATTTTAATTTGTCTGCCCTTAATAGCCAGTTTGTCAGCATTTTACCATAATAATATATGGKTTTTTACCTAATATTTGCGAAACTTGTTTCTCGAAAAGTTCAACTCAATTAAAAAACTGTCAAATACTTAAGATATGACAGGCCATTAAATAAGTAAATAACGCAGTTAAAAGTAAWTGCCATTCAGCGGTTCATTGCTTTCAGCCTTACCTAAAGTAGCTAAGCGAAAATTAGAATATATTTGTCATTATAGTTTTTTCCAGAATTTCAGAGTTATTATTGGAGTATTTTTGACATTTATCACCATTGCCCCTATTATATATAAAAATAAAATTAAAGTAAACGTTATTACTTTGAACCAAAATATTACATAAGTATACATTTTTATAAAAAAATAAACATGTGTAATTATTAACTTAATCCTAAAGGATTCAGAAAAATCTAAAATATTTGAAATTTTGATTTCTTTAAACTCTGGATTTTCCAACAATCACCTTATCAGCAGATTATTTTCATATAGTCATAAAAATGCCGAAAACCCTGTGGAAATGAAGAAAATAATGCTACAAAAATTTACGACTTTTATATGTTCTTGTTTACATACGCGTGCACATACAATCACATGTGTATGTGTATAGACCCATGTGAATACTTATGCATAAATGAAAACATTGTTGAGACAGATCTCAATACTAGAAATATGAACTTGGTGTGGGTAAAGGGTGAAGTTATACCCGCGTGTGCGTCTAGCGAACATGTTTTGTGAATAAATATGTGAATATTTCTGTGTATGTGTATATGTATATGGCAGTGTATGTAGATTTTTTGAGCCTACTGTGTTTGCATAAACAATTTTATGTATGTTATTTTGAAAATTTTAAAAGCTGCGGCATAAAACAGTTKTGATATGAACATACTGGTGTGTATGCATGAACGAATTTATAACAGGCTACACAAGTTAGAAGCCCACATGCGACACTTTCCAGCTTTGCTGCGTACTCATTTTATACTTYTTTACAATGTTGAGCATTGTCGTTGCAGTCGTATATCTCTAGTGCTACCAATCACATTTTGYCATATTACATAGGCGAGGAAACGTGAGATTTTAAGCCTAACAAAAATTAAATAAAATTCGGCGAAGTTGAAAAAACGAAAAAAGTTACAGCTGCTCAAAGGTGAAGAAATTCGCTATGTTTTGAAATATTTGTGTAAAATGGAAGAATTCCACCAATGAAATTTGTGAAATTTACGGAGACGATGCGGTATCAGTTCGTGAAGCACAACAATGGTTAGTTTCGTTCGAGAAGTTTCGAAATTACGAAATTTCGATTTACGTTGATGTAATAACGTCTCGGAAAAATGGCAAAAAGTGGTCGACCAAATAGGGTCATATTTGTTTATTTATTTATGAGTATAAAAATAAAATAAAAAAATAAAAATAAGTTGAAGTTTGATTAGAAATACGAAACGAYTTTTTTGACTACTCTATATWACTGAAGAAAGCTTYGAACTTCGAATCATACAACAAGACAGAATCGGGAGAATTGCGTAGTGTGAAATGATTTGGGTCTTTGGGTCATTACTTTGCATTTGCCTWTATGTAAGGAAGATTAGTTCCTTTAATAATTATTATCGAATAATTATTTACACACAGATGATCTTATGTTCTGAGACTTTTTCATTGCCTTTAGTGAGAAAATTATGCCTATTCTATCATATTCGCATTTCAATCGTCAATCGAGATTTCCATTATCATTTTGGACTTCAACAAACCGCTCTAGTCTTCAGCCAAACTTAATATGATTTTATTATTTTATGCGAGGCGAGAGAGTCAAATTTATTTAGTCAACTTGAGACTTTAACTTTTACTTAATTTACTACCATTCTTAATTTTTTTTGATATTTCAAATACACTATAAAACAGCAATGGATAGTAAGCGTCCAGTTTTGATGAAAACTGAAGACATCATGAGGAATATTTAAGCTTTGTTCATTCTTGGARTGAAGATATATTACACATATTTTTATATTATATTTGCACCGCTTTTTTACACAAGAAGTATTAATTTTCTTAAGAGGATATTATGTCACCTCCTGCTTAAGAGATTTGCCATTTTGATCCCATTGCTCCCAAAATGACGATTTTCAAGCACTGTTTCTTTAAATTTTTCGATGCTATCATTGCTAACTTCAAACAAAATTAAAAAAAAAGAAAAGTTGAACCAATCAAATTAAAAATTATTTGTCCATTTGGTTTGCAAGCGTCTTGGCCAGCTAAAATTTGATTATTTTGATTATTCGGTATATACAATATGTYCCTCATAGGATGCGGTGCCGTATGAAACTAAACAGATCAATTATATTCATCTATTCCTGGTTGGTCTTTGCTTGACAAAATCACTAAAGATGATTTAATAGTATATACTCCTAANGTATGAAACTAAACAGATCAATTATATTCATCTATTCCTGGTTGGTCTTTGCTTGACAAAATCACTAAAGATGATTTAATAGTATATACTCCTAAAATACTACTATGAAAAAAAAAAACAAAAAAATAGTAAGACTTTATTCATAACTTGAAAGTTCTTAATTTATTCTTCAAAATCTATATATGTCGTCCCCTTCAAAGTAATCTGCCTTGACTCCAATACACTTGTACCGACGTTTTTTCCAATCCTTGAAACAGTTGCTGAAGCCAATTCTYGGAATAGCCTTCAATGTGCGTAGCGATTCACATTTAATGTCTTTAATGTCGGTTTGTGCATATTATAAGTGAAGTATTGACTACAAGAATATGGAACAAGAATTGGGTTACAATAAAAAAAAAAAATTATTTATTAGCAAAAATATAAAAAAGTCAAAAATTGGCACTTCGAAAAACGTGCGGGTAATTTGGCATATATGGTTCGTTTAATATGGTATACTATACCATATTACCCTATCAATATTACGGCTATATATAAACCAAAAAGATAGTTATCTAGTAAAACAAATGATTAGTTATAGTGAATTTTTTTTAAAAAATTTAAATAAAATTAACAATATAGCCTCCTTGGCACCGAATTTTTGTCAAAAAAGCCTTTTAGGCTAACGAAAAACCAAATTCATTCTAAAAAAATGTATAAACAATTTTGTGTTAAATTACACTTGTTAATGAGCGAAAAAGCATTTCTTAGCTTAGATGCAAGAGTGGCAAAGAAATATGGCACTTCTTTTCGGAATGCAGTTATCGTGAGGCTAGATTATTTCACATGTTTTCTTCTTTTCGACTGGCTTCAATGTCTTAGACTTACGTTTGTCTATTTTAATCAAGCTCAAGCAGTTGTAGCTCTGTTTTATTCGGAGATGTGGTCAAAACTGTCGGCTTAGATTTCCTACCTCTATTGCTTACGGTTCCTCGTATTTTTGGCGGAGGAGAAATCTCCCAAAGTTTTATATGTTTTTTAGCTGAATTCAAAGCAACATCACCTGTGGAAAAATGAAATGCTGAATGAATGCTCATAGAAAAAAATATAGATATAAAACTGTCACCAGCATTTGCAACATTGGCAGAACCTGATGGTGGAAAGATACGTGGTGATAATCCAGTGCTTGTACTGGCCTGCTATGAAATCACCTTCAGAAAAAATCTGTTTGTCCAACGGAAAAACTCCAGTACTTCTGAATCCACTGATAGCTATTTGGCCAGTTTGAAKGCGCAAATAAGCTTTTGTGAACAGTCCAACCAATTATATATAGGCTGTTCACGATAAGGTGGTTATCGGGTTATGTGGTTATGTGATTAAGTAAACAACAACAAAATGYRGTATGACAAAATAACCAACTTTGACCAACCCAGACCCTTGYTTRCAGAYTATGTGGTTGTTTGCTTATTTCCAGTGTTAGAAAGTCGTTGGAGTTTTACTAAATGGCAGCACAAAAAAACTAAGCGAATGGCATTTCCATTCATATTTTCTAATTGGAAATTCTGCTATTAACAGCTGGTTTTTGTTTATAATTGCATTGTGACACAGTTCAGATGTCTTCAAATTTTACACAAAGAATCTTTTGAACTCTTAAAATTAGGATTATTTAATAAGGTCCATTTTCTGAATAGCAGAACTTATTTTAAATTCAATTTACATTCTACAATATTGATGCTTTTTAAACTTTGTTTAGGCATTTTATAAGTAGAAATTTCATTGAACTTAAAATGTAAACAATGAATAGCTGTTTGTGTAAAAATAAGCATATAACCATCAATACGGGATGTTCACGGATCATACAGATTATTTTTAATCTAAAAACCACATAACCGGATAACCACCTTACCATGAACAGCCTAATAGAGTTACCTTCCGTCCTTGATCGCGTGTAAAACGCCTGTAAAACGCCTTACTATAGTATACCTTAAGTGGACCCATGAAAGTTTTGTCCAATGGCTGCAATTTGTGTGTAGAGTGTGGAGGCAAGGAGAGAATAACAACTCTATTTTTACGGGCTAAGTCCAATAATTCAATATTTCTCATGTGATTATAATGCCAATCTAAAATAAGTAAAATGGGTTGATGTTTGCTTGGCTTTGTGAACTTTAAAAAATGTTTAAACCATTCTGTAAAAATTGGTATTTGCACCCATCCAGAAAGATGACACGACGATTTTGCTCCAGGTGGTGCGTCCTTCATAAGTAGTGGATGATTGTTTTTCCTTGGGAAAATAAAATATGGCGACACGAAGGATCCACCAGCGCTCATGCAYGTYATAACAGTAATGAGGGATCCGCGCTCTGCGGAAGTCATAACGCCTATTTGCCTTTTTCCTTTTTGTGCGACTACTTTTGGTTGTCGAGACTGCGCCACTGACAATCCCGTTTCGTCTACATTCCAAATACTTGTCGCTGAAAAATTCAGAAAAGTCTCCACAGTGGATCCTATGTTTCTCTAGAACAGGCTAACCTCCATTTTGTAATTTTTTGCTTATMTCTTCAAGCTTCTGTTTCCTCCATTTACCATAAAACAACTAAACATTGTTATTTTATTTATATGTACATAAGTACTTACCAAAATTTTCGAGGACTTTAGTAAGATATAGTTGTTAAACTGAATAATTATTCACAAAACTGTATAGTATGATGTACATAGGATAACCTTAGTTGCAATGTACATATGTACATATATAGATATTTTCTGAGACATAAGTTTTTGTATCCAAGAACACAAATGTATTTGAAGAGCTGAAAAAAGTGAAAGCGAATGAAAAACGCACCAGTTGCTTTTTCAATTCGCTCGCTCCCAATATCCTAGGAAAAACACTGACGCTTGGCGAGTAATACAGAGAAATTGATGTGCTCTTTTGCATGAATGCGCAGATGAATGGTATGTGTGCAGATTCTTTTTCCAATTTGGCTTGAGGTACAATTTTCCTTGTTGGCAGCCAGTGCGTGCACGTGTGTGTGTGCGCATCCTATATTCAAGCCTAGTCAAGTCGATACGGTTGGGCTACGTTAGAATTACCGTTGATTCGGTTTTAGCGCAGTTCTGCATTGAACGCCTGTTGGSTTTTCCAACTGCTTTGATGGTGGCATTGCAGGTGCTTGTGTGTGGGTGTCTTGGTTGTACGACGCCAAATACAATAATCAAATTCAAATTGAGGTCATGATTGAAAAGACATTAAGGGAAGATGGGTTGACTGGTTGCTTTGCCGTATGGTCGATTGGCTAACGCACCATTTGTTTGATTGGTTGTTCACTTCAGCTGCTGGTTGCCTTGCTCGCTTTCCGGCTGATTGTATGGGTCCTGGCGGTTATGRACATTCAATGCAAATATCAAGGTATACTGCCCTTGCGCATATGCGTGTGTGTAATCGGGAATTAAGAGTCCTTTTTCGCACGTATGTGTGAGTTGGTTGCTTTTATGGGTTTGGGCATTGTACGTTTCTACTCAAATGGATAGAGAATATCTAATATGGGTTTCCGAGTTTCAGCAGAACGATTTCAGTGGCCTCGTTTATACGATGATGCAAAAATACTAGCTTTAGTAATAGTTGTTTAAACTTTTTGTTATAAAAGACACTTTTTCTTCGATTAAGACTTTCTTCATACGTTTATCAACTTATGTATTGCAAAAGAAAATCTCCATTCTGAACTACATTCTCTAAGATATCTGCAAATTCTCTAGAAAAAGTTAAGTTGTTGCAAAGGGAGCTTTTCTTGACGCGTGGCTATCAATAAGACAATCTCTTTTCTGAGTAGGTTCTCTCATCAGATGTTACTTGATGTATACCCAGTTTAGWGTGCTTATTTCATAACGAATAGACTTACTGGTACTCCAGAACATCGTTTGCAAATTGTGCAAATTTATTACTAAAATCATAGTTCGGTTCACATGACGCATCGCGCTGCGTCCAATATTCGATGGAAAATTTTGTTCATTGATAAATCTTACCTTTGGTTGAATGTTACATTAGTAAAAAAAAATTCACACCTGTGGAGTAATGGAGATCCACAAGGTTCCTTGAGACGTCGTTACATTCTCAAAATGTCATTGCTAAAATGCTCTARAGGCAGTGGGAATCACTGGTCCACATCTGTTCAGAAATGAAGTCGTCTGTAATAAAAGAGTCAATGCAGAACACTATAGAGTCATGACTAGTGACTTATTGCTGCGGCTCTTTTCGTATCTGAATTGCATGATTTRATTTTGATGTGAAGTACCTTTGGTTCCAACCAATTTTGGTACATGCCATACAGCCTACGACACAATCAATTTTTTGAGGGAAACTTTTGTTGGTACATCATCTGACTCCGCTGAACTTCGGTTTGGGAGTCGCTTGCTCCCACAGAATAGCCAAAAAAGATTGGCGCCTTACAAGATAAATAATTTTCAAGACGTAATGRCCAACCCTTATCTTTATAATAAAGCTAAATTCTAATCCACAACAGTTGACCAAAGGCATTTGAAGAAAATCTTGAAAAATATGGACATATTTTGTAAAAAGTCTCTTTGTATTTCTTATCAAACTTCGAATTATTATTTTTTCATATTCATAATGAACTTTAATGAACCAAACATGTTCCATTATGGTCAAAATTTTTTTTTGCCATTTTTCCGTTATTTAATAATTTTCACAAATTTCTCCTGAAGCAAAATTTAAGGGAGTTCTGCATTAAACAAAGCAAATAGAAGTCCGATGGTGAAAGGTCAAGGCTATATGGTGGATGCATCAAAATAGCAAAGTTCTCAAAGTCTTCAAAATGTGTGTGTGGTCTATCGTTGGCCTGGTAGAAGCCGAATATTCTTCTGTTGATGAGTTCCGGTCGTTTGTTGACAGTAAAATGTAGAATCAATCGTTCAACCAGGCTGGAGCAGCTCATAGTAGTTGATTCCTTTGAAATCCCACCAAACACTCAGCATAACCTTTCGAGGCATCAATCCTGGCTTTGCGACCAATTGTTGAGCTT